TTTAGGTCAGCTCTCATCTCAGCAAATGAGTTTGCTAATTCTACTTGATTCTTCTTTATAGCTTCTATTTCATTTTTGGCATATTTTATATTTCTAAACACTATCTGTTTTAGTTCCTTCAGTACTTTGGTCAGTCCTTTTTTGAAATCTTGATCTAGTAGGCCATCAATGTATATTTCATTGATCATGCTTTCAGGGGATTTCTCTTGATCTTTTAATTGGGAGTGGTTCCTCTGCTTTTTCATATTGCTCATATCTCTCTGGCCCTGTGGCTTAAGGAGTATCAGTTATCTACTGTGTTTATTTATTTATCTATCTAAAGCCTATGCAGGAGTAAAACCAGTGGGTGGGCAGGTCACTCCCCTTCCGATGCTGCAGTCAGATGCTGCACTCTGGCGAGGCATGTGGGCGGTTCACACCCCCTCCCAGCACTGTAGTCAGGTGCTGCACTCCTGCCAGGAAGGTGGGTGGCCACTCGCCCTCTCCCAGCACTGCTCTGTGCAGCTGCCCGCTCTGCCTCGGGTCAGCACTTCGTAGGCGGGCTCGGGGAAGACCGTGGAACAGCCCCGCCCCTGCTCTGTGCCAAATCTCGCTCCTTGTTTGTCTTGGCAGCTCGAGTTCTCTGAGGGACCAGGGCAGAAAGATCCTATTGCCTCTGGCTGTAAACAAGTCTCAGTCCTACCCAGGAGGTTGTGGAGCCCCTGGGTGCGGATTCAGGGCTTGGCCCCACCCCCGCCAGGGCGCTGCGCACAGGAGGACATGGCGGCTGTGGCTGCGCCCCGCCTCTCTTCTCACGAGAAGCGCCAGTAATGGTGCTGTGGGTCTGAGGAGACAAAGGCTACAGTACCCCTCCCCCCAGGGCACACCAGCTATGTTGCTTTGCTTTTTTTGCAATTTATGGGGGACCGAGATGGTTTTGCTCAGTATCCCCTCCCAGCCACGGCGTGCAGCCCCCTGCAGTCCCCCCGGGGCTGCCTCAGTGCAGCCGCCCCAGTCCTCTGCCCGGTTTGGGTGGCCTGTACTGGCCCCCAGCTGCCATCTTGCATCTTGGGCTGGGTGTCGCGGGGATCCTCTGTGCCCGTTTAACTTAGTTCTGTCGGTCAAGTGGTGCTCCGGGCATATCCGAGCCTCGGAGGCTCCCCCTCCATCCTGTTGGCCTCTCCGTTGGAGGGGCGAGACCCAGCAAATGAGCACCAGTTCTCCTTTGCCACTCCCTCCCCGCGGGACCGGTCCTGCACCGTTTTGCTTTTTCTTCTTTCTTTTTTCCTTTTCTTCTACCAGATTTTTGGCATCTTTGTCTTTTGAAAAGGGCGATGTTCTGTCAGAGTTCGGCAGGTGCTCTGGTTGGCTGAGTGGGTCTGTAGATGTGAGTTTTGATGTATTTGTGAGAGAGGGTGAGCTATAAGCATCCTTCTACTCTGTCATCTTGCTTCTCTCAAAATATTTTATCTTTTAATCGAACTTCTTTTGCTCGACATACTGTTTTTGTGATTGTTCATGTTTTTGTATGAATCATGAGATTACTTGCTGAGTACCATTGCATTCAACCACAATTTTTTCTTATCCATTCTCTTGTTGATAGAGATTTGGGTTGTTTCCAGTTTTTGTTGAATAAGACTGCTATAAACATTTGTAGACAAGTCTTTGTGCAGACTTACACTTTTATTTCTTTAGGGTAAATAGGAACAAAATTGCTGAATCATAGGACAGATTTATGCTTCACTTTACAAGAAACTTCCAAATAGTTCTGCAGATTTACTCCCACAACCAATATATGAGGGTACCAGTTGCTCCCACATCCTGGCCAAGAACTGATCATGACTCTGATTTTAGCTCTTCTGGTAGATGTGAAATGGTATCTTATTGTAGTTTTAATTTGTGTTTTCCTTATTAATAATAATATTGGCATCCTTTCTTGTACTCATTGACCATCAGCGTATCTTTTTTTATGTAGTGTTCACATCTTTTTTCCATTAAAAAACTGGATTGTTTTATCTTTTATTGAGTTGTGAATATGTATGTGTGTGTGTGTGTATGTTTGTATGTATATGTGTATATGTATGTTTTCCGTGTGTATAGTTCATAAGAACTATTTTGGATATT